ATAAAATTCAAAATATATCAACATCAAAATCCATAAATAAAATCAGTTCATAACTAAAAAAAATTAAAATTAATATAAATTAAACTCTAAAAATGAAATTTAAATAAAAAAAATTAAAATTAATTATAAATTGAACCAATTCAAGTCGCATATATTCACATTTAATTCAACTAATCAAAGAATAATCAAACCATCAAATGATATTAAATCCACTAAAAAAATTAGAATCTAAGTAAATAAACTCAACACATTTTAATCCATTTCAAAAGTTGATTTTAAAAAATCATAAATCTGTTTAAATAACAATGTGCACTTAACCTAATACTAATCCAAATTTGAATTCTACCTAAACTTTACATTATTCTATCCTCAAAATAAAATCAAATATAACACCAAAGTCCACCCAAAACAACCATTAATTTAATCCTTAAACCATTCCTAAATACAATCAATAATCTACACTATCAAGTTATAGAATTAAATCTCAATCTAGCTACCTATTTAATATTCAACCCCCCAATGAAATCAACATAAAATCGTGATAAAATTCTACATTAAATATGAAATTAAAATAGATCTAATAAAATTTATATTCAATTTAACAATAACATGCTCAAGTCTGAGTAAAATTAGCCCTTAGCAAGCATCAAACCTTGTAAACATTTAACCTATATAATATGTATATATGTATACATTTCTGTACATATGTATATATGTATACATTTCTGTACATATGTATATATGTATACATTTCTGTACATACTCGATCCCCAGTGGCTATCTCTACATATGTATATATGTATACATTTCTGTACATATGTATATATGTATACATATCTCTACATGTGTGTGTGTGTGTATTTATTTTTTCATTTGTTTTAATTTTATTTTTTTAAAAGGAAATCGGTATTTTGCAGACACACAAATATCGATTTCCCATGTGCTAGGCCCCATGATGAGAGCCCGCTCCATGTGCCTAAATATTCGAGAACCCAATGTCACTGGGGATCGAACTCGTAACCTGAGGGGACTTATAGTGAACCCCACTAACTAACAGGCCACGGCTTGATCTCCTTAAACTAATAGAGTTGGAACGAGTCACTATGTATTCTTACTTCACTCCTACAAATGGAGGTTTATTCCTTCTATTGTATGAGAAGTAGGATAATAAATGTTCTTATCTATGTTTTGTTACTTCGATTAGCTACCGCTAATAGCTAATCAAGAAAGATTTTTGGCACATGGAAAGAATTTAGTTAAGCATGTTCATAAATTTTTCTAAATGGGTGGACAAACATAAAACTAACCTTTTCAAAAATAAACTTAAATAAAACTTAACAAATCATTTTTAAAAATAAACTTTAATAAAACTTTAAAAAAAAACCTTTTAAAAGTTAACCTTTTCAAGGAAATAAAACTTCAATTAAACTCCCAAAAACAATACCTTCTAAAACAAAACTTGAAACAAATCACATTTCAAAAGAAAACCTAACTTTCTTCAAAACAAAATTAAATTTTATATTACAAAACCTAAAAAAAAAATTTCAAAACAAGAACAAAATATTAAGCTAAACTTTGTCCAAATAAAGTAAGCTTAAAATAACTTTTTAAGTAATTTTTCAAAAACAAAATTTTCTTATGAGCTTACCAATTGTATAAATTCTCACACCAAAATTATATAACTTTACAAATCCTCATGTATAGCAAGCTTTGGCAAGACATGTACATGTTTATAGGTTTGGCTCATAAATGAACACATATGCGATTGTTCCCTTTAGGAATATGTGATTTATAAGATTAACTTCTAAGCATACAATTCTTGATATGCGATTTATAAGATTAACTTCTAAGCATACAATTCTTGTGCAGTTCTATACATACACATTTCTCACATTAAGATTCACTCACGTATTGATAGTATTTTGGTGTGATAAATAAAAATATTTTATAAAATTATATTTTTTATGTGTGTAAAAATTTTGAAAAATAAGCATGTGAATAAAATATGAAAGGCATCAATGAAAATTTTCCCAACATATAAGCTTCAACATGGAATGGTAAACCAAACCTTATAGGAGAGCAAATGGATAACACTAAATCAGGATAGAAAATTAAGTGCAATACTTTATGAACATAGAAATAACCTAATTTTTTACACCAAATGACAAACTATGGATCACATTAAATCATAAAATAATACATCAGACCCCAAAAACAATTTTAAAATACACCAACTTAAATAATAGAAATAAAATCAAACTAGATCAATTGTGACCCTGGGTTAGCAAACTCATAAATAAAACTCAGGATCACACATACCTTTGATTTATCTAGTCTATAAGCTTGAGTTAGATTACTAGGTACCTCTAATTACTGCTGAGGACTATAACATATAAAATAAACAGCCTTACCCCTTAAGAGTATGTAGATGTCCTAGGATGAAGTAACATATAGTTACTAATAAAGGCACATCTAATCACCTAATAGTAGGAAGGTCTGCATTTACCATAGCTATGATAATAGTGGAGATCACTTATTATTGGGCTGGTTAAATGTCAAAAGATCTTAAAGCAACTAAGATCAAGGAAAGCCAAAAAACATCTTGACCAGGGGCGTTACACCCAAAAATTAGGTTAGTACATCCATGTAGTCTCCTTCTAAATTCTAATTTTATAATCTGTTTGACCCCATTTTCTTTAAATTATAATACTTAATTTCTAAATACTATATTACGCTAAATTAAACCGCACCCAGCCGCATTGCGACCGACATTAACTAGAAATTATCATTTCATAATTCTTATGCTAGTGTTATTTTTCAAAGTGATTTTCATAATCTCCTTGGTATAACTTCTTAAAGAAGTTAGTAATGACATCATCTTAAATGCTTATAATGCCTTTTCAAACAACTCATCTGTTGAGAAATATTGAGCAAGTTTAATTTTACTTGCTTTAAATCGCCTGATTATTATAGGTTAGGCTAGTCGAGAGGTACTAAAAAAGCAATCAATTCATTTTAAGGTAGCCTCAATTGACATTAATGATACTTAAGTGGAAGCTTGTTTGTTTAGATTACTAACTTCTAAGAACAGCTCAAATGAACTATTTTTTTTTCTAAGAGATCTACTTAATCTAGAAAATTCTATATTTCCTAACCTTTGTTCTGATCTTAAATGTGTTTTTATATGTTTTCAGTTATAAAGTTTAAAATTTACCATTGACTTAATTGGCTACACACTATGAGTCTAAGAACATTAAGAGGTACATTCGACCAATAAATCTAAGCAAGTCTCAAGTCACCTAAAAGAAAATTTAGATAATGTGGCAAAGGATGATTCAACAAGATATCATCTGTTTTGCCCCATTAGTTTAACTTGCTAGGAGATCCCCCATACCAAGAAAGCTTCCATGCTAGCACGCCTAACTTTGTAATTTTTGATTAAATTCCACTGTTACACCAAAATGTGCTTCAATGTTTAAGTGTTCAGCTTCATATTCTACTTAAGAGGTTTCACAATCTTTCATATGTAACTAACTAACATCCTCATTCATTTTTGTAACCTAGATTCATCTGTCATACAGATTCAAGAGATGTTTCCCACCATCACTTAGTCACCATCTTCAAACTGGTGTATTGCTCTGATACCATTTGTAACAACTTGAACTATCATCCATCAAGATATTGTCCACTTTGATTTGGTGACCTTATGGTTTTGCCCTGTTGTATAACTTCTCATAAGGTCTTCCATTTCAAGTGTTCCCATGCTAGCACGCTTAACTTTAGAGCTTTTGATTAAATTTCACTATATGTGTTTCGATGTTTAAGAGTTCAACTATATTCTTCTTGAAAGGTTTCACATGGCCACTATTCAATGATGTTGCACAAATATATACTTTTCATTTGGTACATGAGGTAAGTAAAATTAATGAAAAGTTCTTTAACTTTATGATGTTTCTTGGTGCATCTTTCATATAAAATTTGCTTAGCTTTATTGTGTCCTTTAGTTTATAATTGAATGTTCTTGCTTCAATAAAGACAATCATAAAGGAGTGGTCATTAATGACCAAGATAGAATGGGATAGTTTCTATTAGAAAGCAGTGAATAAATCTTGAAGATCATAAAAAGCAAATTACAAGTGAATATGACTAACACAATATTAAGTTCCAAAACTTAAAAAGATTTTAAAAAAAAAAGACAAAAATAAAATTATAAAAAAGAAATACACGATAGTTTCTAATAACATTTTTTAAATGTCACACACTTAAACCAAATAGTAAAATCCTTCCAATGAGGAATAAAAATGGTGCCCCCTTACAAAATTTATTGATCCACCATACAATTTTCTAAACACATCTGAAAATATCTATTTGAAATGAAAAGATATGACTGAAACAACCTAATGGCTTTCTTGGTTTGCTGGAAAAATAATACAATGTATTGAGAATGTTTTAGAATTATTTGATTCCATGTAAATAAAAAGCAACTGTAGGAGAAACAATTCGTAGTGATAACGATCGACAATGATGAACAGCACCCAGCGACGAGTGACAAAAGACTGAGGACAAGAATCATGATTGACAGAGGGCAGGTGGCGGTCGCAGCGACTGCCGGATGCCAATGACAATGACCGTCGAGCAGCAGTAGCAATGGCAAACTGGCAACGACAATGGCCACAACTGACAAAGGCATGAAGGCTCAGGTAACGACGACGAGCAGCCTCATCACTTTACACAAGCAGTGTGTTTAAAATTTGCTCAAGTCCAGTAAATTTCAAACACATTGAAAATAAGAGAAATTAAACATTTAAACTTACCTTAAAAAGTCAAATAAAACTTCCTATTGTAGGTTAACAAAGAGAAATGAAACCAAAATATAGTAAATCTTATTTCAAGATAATCATAATTCACAAAATGAGCTGCAAATACAAAAGACAACAAAACGTTTGCCCATTTTATTAACAAAGCCTTATAATATTTAGCTACGTTCTGAAAACATGAAACTAACTTCATGGAATTGGATATATGACAACTTTACCAGTAGCTCTCCCAGTCTCAAGATAAGAAAATGCATCAACCACCTTCGAGAATGGAAATGGACCCTTTGGATCATTAAGTGGCCTAATCTTTCCGCTCTCCAGAAAAGGATTCAGCTTGGCTAAAACTGCTCCGTCAGAAGTGAGAATAAAAAAGAAACCTGGAGGTGAAAGAGGACCAGTGATTCCCACCACAGTTCCGCCTTCTTTTACTGCTTTGGCTCCCGTGTCTCCAAGCCCTGCGTATGAAAATTTGTACAGAGGAATTTACTAAGCCTTTCATTATATCAGTCTAAATGATGGGGTGCTACGTGTCAAATGGGCTCCATTGGATTTATCACTGATCAATGCCAATGTATTGCGGCGGGGCCCACTTGACACGTGGCGCCCCCACCATTAGACTCCGAACACAAATTGCGTTAGGAGTCCTGATGTAATATTTCCTCCCAATCTACAGAGTACGGTGAATGAAATCCTCCCGAATAAAGCAGTATTTGACAGAAGTTGAGATACATGTGTATTATCTCTAGAAAGATGAGAATGGAAAAACATAAATTTGAATTAATCAGAATAAAATAAAGAATATGAAAGTTTTGTAATCAAAATCCTTTTTTTTCTCTGTGTTGAGGTGTATTTTTCATTAAAAATGAGAACATTATGCAATATACTATATGTATATTAATTTTAAATCAAGCTTCGGTTCTAACTTGCTTAAAACTTGATTTTTAGACACATTTTTATACCTATTTTTGAGATATTGCGCTTTAATGGAAAATATTTTTGTGTCTTTCATTCAGGTACAAGTAAAAATGTGAAAAATGCTTAAAAGAGTGAAAAAAAGATCAAATTTAGAGCAAATAGGTGAAAATTGTGCTAAAGTGTTTTGGCACCTAAGCACCAGATCCGGCGCTTAAGTGTCGGTTAAACAGAGAAGGCTACGCCTAAGCGCCAGAGTACCGCGCCTAAGCGCCAGAGACCCGCGCTTAAGCGCCAGAGATAGTTATTTAATAAGTAAATTCAGTTTTGTGAATTTTGAAGAGGTATTTGAGGCACATTTTGGCATAAATAGGTGGTTACAACCACCAAGGACGAAAATACTTATGAAAGGAGACATCTCTTGGGGAAATAAATCGAATCAAGACATATTTTGAAGAGATACCAAGACACCTATTGGAAAATTATAAAAGAAGGAAGATTGAAACTTTGAAGATGTGTGTGCTTGAAAAGAGAGTTTTGTTTTGAAAGTTCTAGTTTTGAAAGTTCTTAAAGAAATTGAGGAGTTAGTTTGGAGAGATGTTCAGGCATCACACTAAATATTTACTTTATTGTTTTAATTTTATATTGAGAGTGTTGTAAAAGAGAAGAGATTCAAAGGAACTTCAAGAGTTTGGTGGAGGATTTGAGATAAGTTTTATCTTTTGTTTTAAACTACTTTTGGTTTTAATTGAGACCTATTGTTGTGTTGGTTTAACAACAATTTCTACTTTTAAACTAAAGAGTGGTTTTGTTTTCTCCATGGATTTTGAGTATTTTTATTTATCTTTCTCCTTGAAATGATAAGTACCTAAAGTGTTAGATAGAAGTTGTGGAAAGTATTAATCTTTAATGTTGGAAGAAGTTATGATTACTTCAATTCATGTACTTCATTTACTTCTTGATTTGGTCAATCCAGATGTTAAAATTTGTTGTGAAAACATGTAAGAACCGAACTGGTATTGCGTCAGTCAATAATTGGAAAGAATCACATGAGGTTGTATGAATGAGAATGTAGTTCATATGATTGAGTGCAAATAAATAGGAAAATATTCATTGAAGGGTGTAGAGTTAGAGGACTTTAAAGTGATGGGTTAAAGCCCCCAACTTGGTTTATTATTTTAGGTTCTGATATGGGAATGTTAGCCCCCAGATGGAGGGAATTGAGGGAACTCTAGAGTAAGAGCTAGTATCTTCCCTGCCTAGACAGAATTCTTATATTTATTACTGGTTCATGATAGGGAAAAATATATTTTTATATTTAGTGTTTTTCTTCTAGAAAAACTCAAGTTATTTTTTTAAGTTATTACTGTTTTATCAAAATATCAAAACTATCAAATATATTTAAACTTTCATTGCTGCAAAAACATATATAGTTTAAATAATTGTCTTTTTAAAAATAGAATGTTTTCAAAAGTGCATATTGCACCATTTTCCTGTGGGTTCGATATTCAGGTCTTAATCAGAAAAGTTCTATATTACTTGATAACGATACGTATATTTGCATAGTATCCCAATATATATAAATTAAAAAGTTAAATTTTTATTTTTCTTCATGATCAAGTTTTTTGTTTTGTTGCAAAATAAGAAAATATAAGTGAAAAATATAATCAGAGCTATTGTTATACTGTTGCATATAAACAGTCGGGATCACAAGACATCCAATGCACTCATGAGAGGAGTTTAAGGATTCCTTGTTGAATCGTTTTCGAGCGATTCGGAAAAAAGACCTACACAAGCAATTCTAAACTATGGTTCAGGAGGGAACAATTACGAAATACCGGGAGAAATTCGAGCACTTGTTAGGGAGGTTGAGGGGGATTTCTGCAGTAGGACTGGTTGAAAGGACTAAAGCTCGACATTCGAGTAGTCATCCGCCCCTCGAGACTACGATGGTTGAGAGAAATGATTGAGCTCTCCTAGATGATAAAGGATAAAAAATAAGTGAAAAAGACTGGCAAAGGCGACAGCATTGGAGGATTCTACAAGAGCACTTGGCAACCACGACACCAATGACCTAGACACTGTCATTTCAGAAAAAGAAGCCGAAAGAGAAGAATACAGGAACATGTCTCGGGGGTAATTTCAAGCATCTCAAAAATGCGAAAGTTCAAGATAAAAGAGCAAAAAAATTGTGTTATTATTGTGACGAGAAATATGTCCCAAGCCACCGTTGCAAGGAGCGTGCCCCTCAGATTCTTTTAGTTCAGAAGGAGGATACAGAGAGTGAGGGATCAAATGACACGATGGAAAAGGAGCATATGCATTTCTATGTGGCGGAGGTGTCCCTCAATTAGGTGATAGGATTTACCCCGAATCACACCATGAAGGTGAGGGGGTGGATCAGGGAACAACCGATTGTGAGTAGAAGCGGAGTTAGACAAGTTTCATATTCTTGTAATTGATGAGTTACTGGATGAGCTTTATGGGGCAGTCATTTTCTCAAAAATTGATCTGAAGTCATGATACCACCAGATCAGGATGAATCTAGCAGATGTGGACAAGACAGCGTTCATGACACATGAAGGACATCATGAATTCTTAGTGATGTTGTTTGGCCTCACGAACGCCCCAGCGACATAATACCTTAGACCAAGAGGTGAGACCTCGATTGGATCGGTTGAGAAGCTTCGCGTGGATGTGGGACACCTTCTCCTTGTCCAATTTGAGCTGAGTCCGAGCCTAGGTATGAGTTCGACCGAAAGGCGGATCGGGTTTAGTCTAACTCTAGGTTAGAGACCAAGCGGAATTTGACGTAGCAGAAGAAGGTCGGGCACAAGTGGGGCCCATGAGGGGCATAATCACATATTCAAAGAGGAAAATTCAGAATTTGGAAGGAAAGTTGGAAATGAAAGATTGAAATGTTGCGAGAAGATTCTATTAAGGGAAATAATCTTGGTTTTGTTGGTTCTATGCATGTTTTGTTGGTTGTTGTATTTTTCTTTTTCTTATGGTGCTCCTAGCGACGACTAGGGTGTGGGAGAGCTGATCTACCTCTGAAAAAGTAAAGCACCATTGAATCTTGTTTTTTTTTTTCATTTGTTTTTTTTATAAGAGCAGTCTTCATTTTAGTTTTTCCATCTATCTATTGCCATCTCGCTGTTGTTGCTTGTTGATTTTGGGTTTTGGAGAATCAATTTATACCATTAGTAAACAAGCTTCTATAAAAGTTAACATAAATTTGTTAATTTAACCGATCACCACAAAATACTGCACAAATTCATTTATAAGGTAGAAAAATTGACCGTTGAATCCATTTATTAGTGGCCCTCGGTTAACTTTAGTGACCCTCAACTAGCTCTTTAGCAGATCTCCACTAAATTTGAAGTACCTCTATTAATCTAAAATATTAGATAAAGCTACTTTGCTCCAATAGTTGGGTGTGTAATAAATTCCAAATTTGGATACTTCTAGCCATTACAAAAATGACTCCAAAGATTGTTACAAGTCCTCTACACATACTAAACACATTATAATGACTTCAAGGTTAGAAATTCATAAGTACAATAAAAATAAATAAATAAATAAATAGCCTCACCTCCATTAAATGCTTACATGATCCCATATCAACAAGAAGATATTGAGCCAAAGGTAAAATCTTTAAAGAGATAAAACAAAATAAGTGCTCGCCCTTCAAATCTCTTGAGATCAAATTCGAGTAATGTAATTTTCTCAACTTTTATTTTTACCATGGAGTGTTGTTCACTATGTCTTTTACAAATGTATCAAGATTATATAAGCTTAGTAATAGTTGTATGATATTTAGTCACCGTCAAAGTATTAAATCATTTGAAAGGTGATACCTTAAAAGTTTGCTAAGATTAGGTTTCAAGGTGGTATCCTTGTCCAGACAAGTGAGGATTGCATTCCCTTAAAGGGTGAAAATATGAGTGCATGTTTCCTATTGAAAGAAAAGAGTGTGATGAATTCTCCAATCACAAGTTGTATAAGAGATATTTATATGTGCAAAAAATCCCTAAGTATGACGGGTGCTTAGGCATAAGATGTAGGCCATTGGGTTGGCTGAACCAAATAAACAAATTCATTTCACGCTAAAGATAAACTTGCTTTTTCTGCAAATGTACTCTATTAATTAATTATACTCTCATGTTTAGGTGGTGATCAACTTAATTAAGGATATGTTTTGGGTAGTTGCAGCTATTTAAGAAAACAACTGTCAAGTTGCTATAAAAAAATACTGTTGTTTAAGAACCTGCAATGGCTATTATAGATTTTTTTACTAACAAAAATTCAAATCATAGCTTTTTGCAACCACCGCACTTAGTCAAGTCAAATTGTAACATACAACTTTCCCACAACAACTTCTTGAGAAAACAGACAAAAAAATAGTTTTTTTCAAACGTATAAGCGGTGCGGAGCGAACCATTCCACACCTGTATAGCAACCCCAAATAGGCCCTACATCACTTCTGTACTAAAGAATTTGAGTAATCTTAATCATTGCATGTAAAAAGTATATTATTGAATTGAACATAATTTTTTTATAACATCTTATATATTCATTCTGTGGATGCTATTGTTTGGTGCTTTATAGAATTAATCATATAAACTAGTGTGGTGTATTGAATTCATGTTCTATAATCGTGTTTATAGTTCAACCAAGTACTACTAGCTTAAACAAATATTCAACACTATATTTACCATTTTTTTAACATTTATGAGACTGACTTAATTGACACCAAGTGTGTATAAGTATATTTGAATACCAAATTATGCAAATTATGTTTAGAATTGATCATTCACTTTATAACCTCACATCTTGTACTATTTATCTCCAACATTTGTCCACTAGATTGTTTATCTAATCATCATACTTACAATTTCTGCATATTTTATCATTAACAACTCATGTTAAGTAAGTTTATATCTAAGGTTTCCACAATGCATTGTGTGGGAATTGAGTTGCAAAGAACTTCAAAAAAAAAATTTAGAGTATAGAAAAAGTTGTACAACCATTAAATTTGTATGTCAACACCATGGAACCAATACGTAGCAGGCTTGTAAAGGTTAAATAAATAATGGTATATAACATATATTTAGAGGTTATGTGAGAATGATAGATAACAACCAAACTTGATAAGGGCTAATGGAAAGCGGTAGACTAGAAAATTCTAGGAGTCCTAAAAATTAATCTACACAGCTCAATAATTTTGAGCATTGAATGAATGAGTGCATGATTCATTTCCAACCTACAGAGTCTGATGAATGAAATTCTCACCAATCAAACAATATTAAATAGAAATTGAGATACAAATGTATTAGATTCTAAACTAAGAATGAAAATGTGTGTATATAGCATAAATTTACTTAAGTAACAAACTAAAAGACTAAATAGCAAAAATGACAACAAACAAGTTCTTATCCCACAAAGTGGGGTCGGCGACATGAATCATTTTTCTCCATTGTGTCCTATTGAATGTCATTTTTTCATTTAATTCTATAAAATTTAAAATGATAGTTTTAATTTAATTTTAAAGTTCAATTGTCAAGTCGATGGCATTAACTAATATCATGTTGAATATGTGATGGGGAATAAATTGGCATCATACAACAATAACAACAAGCCTTTATCCCACTCAGTGGGGTCGGCAATAAGTTGACTTCATGCAAGACAAGAAAATAAATGGCTTTATTTAAAACCATTATTGATATGTTAGCAAGTTTTTTTTTATTAAAAATAAAAAGATATCAATCAATACTATTTTTCAAATAGCCTCAAGGTACCTCTACGTAGAAAACGTTCTTGAATGACTATGATGGGATTTAATCCAAAATAAATAGTTTTGACTTAACCATCACCTAGCATTCAGCAAGAATGACGATGTCTTTTAAATACTAATAGTTTACTATTAACATAGTTTCTTTTCTTTTGGAATTAAAAAAAAAAATTCTAGTAATAGTGTTGACATCATTCATATACCAAAATAAATTTTTGGCTAAAAGAGGCATTAAAAATATGAATGGAAGAGTATTCATGGAGTCACTAAATTGTTGCAATAAAGACAATAATACATAGAGAAGCAAAAGGGATCTTACCAATTGCATCATATACTACATCAAATTTTTCTGGCAGTTCTTCTAAGTTTTCCTTCGTATAGTCGATTGCTAAATCAGCCCCCAAACTCTTCAATAGCTCCAACTTACCCGTGCTTGAAGTGGCAGCCACTTTTGATGCACCGTAAACATGTTTTGCCAACTATAAAACAAAATAGATATCAAAATAACACCTTTACAAACTTACCACAAGCAATTAATAACATTCTCCATAAACTTATTGAGTAACAGGGAAAGAAGCTCAGTAATAACTACTACCCACCAATATTAATGCATATTAAGGTTCTGGTAGTCCTTGACGAATCCATCAAATTCCTTAAGAAATTTTTCTTTTCGCTATCATAGTCCCATATGCTAGTGCATGAATCAGCTAAAAACCAATTTGCCCGAGAACTGTTTACTTCTTAAATTTTACTTAAAGTTTGATATTTACATTTATACTATGGTGTCATAAACCTATGCTTGCAAAGGTGAATTTCCATTTTACTACGTAAATGTGGTATTTTTTATGTGATTTTATAGATTTGAGTGGCATGCAAGTAAATATGAATGATTAGGTGTAAATATATAAGAAATCTGTGGAATTTATGTAAATGCCCCAATAATTTTTCCTCGAAGATGCTTATAGTGCAACTTTAGTTTCATGATTTATATAAAATTACCTGAATCACAAAGGATCCAACTCCACCTCCACCACCTAATACAAGAATAGATTTACCAGCAGAGAAACCTGCTCTCTCTAATCCTTCATGTGCTGTTTCAATGGCTAGAGGTATTCCAGCAGCAGATTGAAAGTCCAGATTACTGGGTTTTATAGCCAGCACTTTCTCTTCAACAGCAGTGAATTCAGCAAGTGATCCATACTGCTTAGGATTGTCCAAACCATTCTCATTGATATCTCCATAAACTTCATCTCCTTCCTTCAGCTTCTGCACTTGGCTGCCCACCTTCACGACTATGCCAGCCACATCATATCCTGGGACAGTCTAGAAATGATGACAAAGAAAGAAAAAAAAATTGGTAAAAGAGAAGAGATTGATAAATTAATTAAAATTGACTGGCAAAAACATCAACACTAATACTTAATTTTATTGAAAAAACCCTCTCTTGTGTTAGTTGGCCATCTCTTGTCACAAGAAAATGATACTGAAATATAAGATATTGCATTTTCAGGAGAGTACAAAAAAATACATTTTGAAATTAATCTAAACTCAGAAAATATAAGATTTATTATCTCCTTTTTCAAACTTTGTATGTGAAATATAACCATTTATTAATGGAGACCACTCTGACCTTCAGTTTTACTCAACCTCGCGGAAAATTCAAAAACAAACAAACTAAATCATTTTTTTCTACAAGTAAACTGGATATAATCAATATCACATCAGTTTCAATGTGCTAGATTTAGCACAAAAGATGAAACCAAATTTAAGGGGGAGAAAAACAATCACATAGCACACCCAACACTCAAATGTTGTGCCAAAATTATACATGATGAAGTTAAAGGCATAATCCTTCCATCCACCAAACAAATATAAAAAACCTGAAGGGCCAATTTGGTACTAAATTAGGCTGGATATAAGCAAGATTTGACTTAACTTCAGCCAAATAAATTTTTGGGGACTTCCTCTCCTACAGTTTTGATAAATCCCATTTCACTCCAGCTATTGGTTAATTCTAAATTATATAAATCTCAATATTCAATACTTAACTGATTTAAAGATTTGCCGATCTCACAATAAATCTGATCCAATTGTCAAGCCAAACAATTTCCAGATTTAACCTTCTCAAAATTCACCAAAACTGAAAAGTTCGCCAAACAGCCGAAAGAAAAAAAGAAAAAACAAAAGGTTTCAAAAATAGGGGAAAAAGATCAGAAGCCGATTCCTGTGTCAAATTCTGAAACAAAAGAAGTCGTAAAGTTTCAAACTTTTTTACAATTTTCTTCTAAAACAAGTCATCTCCGACCCAACCATGAAACATGTATGACTGACTTCCAAAAATTTAAAAAAAAAACGGTCAAAAAGATGAACAAAAGTTGAACAACAACAACAAAATTAAACAATAAAGAGATTACAGTATTATGAACTTACAGGTAACGGAGAGTCAGTGTTCTTAAACCGCCCAAGCCTCCTCTTAAAATCCACAGGGTTTAGTGCCGCAGCAACAACCTTTAGAAGCACTTGGTCATCTTTAATCTCCGGCACAGAAACCCCATCATCTAACCTCAAGACCTTGACATCCCCGTATTCTTCATATATCCATGCCTTCATCTTCAAAGGAATCTCAGACATTGGAGTGAGATGTGAGAGACGGAGAGAACTCGGGGCTGTTTGGTGACAGCAAGATTTGAGTTAGTATCAAACAACACTGAACTTAAATCCGGCGTAGACCGTAAAAAAAAATGAAAACTTTTTGAGTTTTCTTTCAATAAAATTTCACTTATTATTTTTTTGTTTTCAAGTTATGGCTTCTGAAAGGAAAAGGGAGGGTCTCGAAAGAGTTTTTATGGCAATTATTGCAGCCAAATAAAATTTTGAACTTACAAAAATACGGCTTAGCTGAGATTCTCATTCCAAACTTAAAAAAAATATTATTTCCGGAGTCCAAACGCGCATATAGCATGACACTCATTCTCATGTCAAAGAAAAAATAGTGTTTGGAGTCTGAATGTCGTATGTCCGGACAACGAACACGATTTACCGAAAGAGAGGAAGATAATAAAAAATTATTGTCCGTTAGTGTATTGCGTCCGCTGTATGAGAGCAATATTTTCTCTCAAACTTGAGTATCGAAAATTTTTAAGAATTTTGAAAACCCTACCTTTAGGCAAATTTTTTAAGGGGTTTTTTTATGATCAACCCCTACAACATTTAATGTAACAAGCTAGTCACTCTTTCCTCTTATATCTCAAGCCTGAAACATTTAAATCCCTCATTTCGGCCCCTCCCATCTCACACTGCTTTCGCCTGTCTCCCTCTGTGTGGGATTCGTTGCCCTTCAGTAGTCTGATGTCATTTGTTATGTACCGTTAACATTTCCTCACTGTCTGTAGCAAAAAGCTCTTCCCTTTCGGCTTCCTCTATCCAGTGGGAAATCCTCGCATCTTCACATGTCGAGGCCTCGAAAAAGGCGAGGCTCTCCGGCATTCGTCGTGCTGCAAGTCAGGCAAGGGTTCCCCTTTTCTCTTAAATCCAAGATTTTAGTCAAGACTGTAAAAAATATTTGGAAAATTTACATGCAGCCAATTCTTTTGCATTTACGTATTTTGCACCTAAATTATTGTTGGATTTACAAGATACCCTAAATTGTGGACTGATGGATGAAGATGGCAGTGGTACTTATTTGTGCTTTTGTTTGTTAAGTGCGCCTTAATTTAGAGGCGTGTGCATTACTCAATTGTGTCACTAGATGATAAATTGAGCTTAACCTTGATTTGACCCAAAAAATCAGGTTTAGCTAACATGCACGACGAGATTAACAACTCTTGAACTACTAATTTGTTAGTTAAGTTTGGCCAGCATTGAAAATTGGAATTGAGGAGCATGTTAAGTTTCAAAATTATTAAGAAAGCTTAACCAAATATAGTAATCCCCATGAATGAACAAGAAAATAAAAAGGGAAATTAAAATGAAAAAGAAATGAATTGAGGAGCCAAAATTTGTAGAAAATGTTCATAAGAAAAAGGGAAATAATTTAGGCAGCTTAAGGGAGAAGATGGAGGCAAAGCTCATACTAGAAACTGGTGCCAATTTCTTTTCTAAAATTCGAAGGATCAATAACTTTCCTAAATTAACTTAGAAACTTTATATTCAAAGAGAAAGTAAAGAGATTAATATAACTTAATTGAATAGAGAGCTGAATTTTATTATTAAATATTAATTTTATGTTAATCAATATTCATATAAGTAATTTATGAGAATCATATATATATATAATCCTTATATAAGTATTTTATGAGGATGTTCTATGAAAGTTCAAATATGATGAAAAAATAAGTCCAATTTGACTTTTGTTTATCCACTATATTATTAGGAAGTATCGAATCTTTAATCACTAACCACCACCATACTTTTAAAAATTTTAGTTTTGGATTTTGAAATTACTTGGCAAGTAATTCGTAAGTTTGGGAGAATTGATGCATGTAAAATATGTCATAATTTTTCTACATTTTTTTGTTCTTTTTCTATATTATTGTTTTCATGTTTATATTTTTTTAAGTATTTTTAGTGTAATTGCGGGTTATAAGTACTGATGAGAGCTTGAAGATGCATTAAAGAGATATTGGAATGAGCTCAAAGGAAGCTACATAAGACACAAGGTGCCACTACAGTTGACTAAGTTCAGATAGAGAGGTGCCAAAGCAGCACCTTATGGGTTTCAATGCGCCACCCAAGCCACTCCAAACTCCACGGACATAGGGCATGGCCCCTTGGCGCTTGTATATTGGCACCTATGCGCCCATCGAAGCACCCCAAAAACCTTTCTTATCTTAAGCATGTAACCTTGGCACCATACATTGGTCGCCTAGGCATCCCCATTAGCCAATGGAGCGCAACTTCTGGTGGCATCTATGCCCCACCTACAAGAACCAAACCACAAACCGACATAGCATGAAGAAAGCCCCCGATGCTCCAAGGAGAAACTCTGGCACTGACAAACTGACATCGGGAGTTAAGGCGATTTATGTCTGTGTGGCATCACTTAGGGATAAAAAAGGAGAAAATTCTTTTGAAAGGGGCAGACTCTCACTCTCTTGTGTGCTAGTGTTGTGTCTTGAGTTTTCATCTTTATGTGAGTGTTAGAGCAAATTTTTGTAAGGAGAATCAGAGACATTAAAAGGGGATCTGCGAGAAATAATTATGAAGGATTGTTTAGAAGAGTTAGTGATTGTTAATAAATCATTAAGAGTGGAGAACGAATTGGCAACTTAAGGTTGTAACTTTTTCTTTTTTTTTTTGTTTATAAACTCTGTACTTTATTTGTTATAATTAATATGATATATTTCCTATTGTTCCAAATCATATATTGTCACTAATTCTCTTTTTTTTCTCTGATTTGGTGAGTATAAGCTCTAGGATTTATTTGTTGTGTATGCAACTTCTATGAAATTGTTTTGGTAGTGTTTTAACTTTTAAATCTTCATTTACATAGGCCAATTGAATTGTTAAAAACCATTGTGAACTTTGAGTTTCATAAGAATCATTAATGGAACAACTAAGATAAAACTCAGTAACTTGGAGAATAGGAATATTGCTTAGTGTTATCTTATAAGAAATTATTCATTCTTGTGGATTTCATCTGATTTAGGCAACTAAAACGGTTTAATGTCCTAATTGCTTATTGCCATCGAGAGGGGCTAAGGGAGAAAATTATTCTTGATAGTCACTTTATTAACTTTAGGCTTTTAGGATCCAAATCACAGGAAATATTTTCACTTCCTTGATTTACCTCTCACATTTAAACTAGGATTTTTGTTCTTGCAAAAAAAATATGCTTAGACACTTTTAAAATAACCAGAATTCAAACTTTCGGGCTATATTCAAAACTAGTAGGTTAGAACTCTTCTATATTTTAAGTTTACCCATTTCTCGAGTGATCGGTATACATACTTAGTCTCATATACTACTTGGACGATATGTATATTTGTGTGTATCGCCCATGCTTCACACCACTTGGTCTGTCTCACTGAGTGATCTGGTTCATGGTACTATACATCTACCTCCAAATTACTCCGAATCAAATCATCACAACTCTCATGTTATCCATCTACGCCCACCACAATTACCGACCGATGAATATCATTTTCCCGACCCAGGAATAAGTGGGTCTCCCACAGTCATAAGCAATATATTATTTTCATCATATTTTATATATCATAGAGGTGTCACAATAGTGATTTTTAAATTAAAGATTGATTATTGTGGAGATGTAAATTTGATACAAAAACTTTAATGTCAGATAATCATAATAGCTTTTTCAGATTAAGCCTGGATTGAAATAGTTTTATATATGCATATTAAATTAAGTACGTTGATGTGGTTACGAATGTTTTAGCATTGAATAAATCTAATTAAGCTCTTTAACAAACTTGTATTTAAATTTTTTATCGAAGTTATTTGAATATATATATATATATATATATATATATATATATATATATTATAATTAGAGCTTATATATTATCATTTTATGAGAAGTAAATCAAAAATTAAACAATGATTTGCACTTTCATAAAAAAATTGATTTACCCAATCAATCTGTGAGCATTGGATGACTTGACTTATCTCGTGGCAGGTTTGAAGATTACATCATGAACGATAATCAAAATGCCATAAATTACATCAATTTCTCTCCACTTATAACAATTGCCTATTTTGTCTGTATAATATTATGAATTGGCATTTACATACATACCACCCAAAGCTTATGTATTTACATTTCTAACACCAAAACATTATTTTTCACATTTCTACCACCCGAATCTTTCATATCATATAAAATGTATCACCATTTAACTTAAAAAGTTGCCCACACTGATATACATGTAAAAGTGAAATTTTAAGTGTTAGATATGTAAATATATCGGAATTTAATAGTATATATATATATAATTCTTCAAATTATTAAATGAGTGGATAAGATTGCGATAGAAATCTACAATTATTTTTGTTTACCCACTTCTCTTATCTGTCAGAAGGATAGCTTTGACCGTGCTAATCCTCAACTGCCTCGGCTTGGAATCATTAGATGTGTGCATCTAAATGTCATCCGGAGTCTAACAGGAGGGCGACACGTGTAAAATGAATCAATCACATTATATTACGATGAATTTACTTTATACGTGACGTCTTTTTATTGGACTCCGGATGACCTAATATTTTCTCCTACAAGTGATGGATGGGGCTGCACGCAAAATCTATGATTTTAAACATGTAGTAGTATAAGCGTAGTTATTAAGAGAAGCATTTTCTTGCGTGATATTTTTATTTTAGTTTCAAGTTATCTTTGAAAAAATAAAATTTATTAAAAATCTGTAATATATAGTTTATTTATTTTTTTTCAAATCTTCAAAATTTCATTGAGCAATTTTTTAGATAAATATTAAACTTGATATGTTATTAAAAAATTCACTTGATCAGATACAAATCTTGAATCTTGCCATGTAATCAAATTAAAAAAAGTCATAAACGTGTATGGACAAATTTTACTAAAGCTCATAATTTGATGAGATGGACAAGTCCAAATGAACTTAAAACATACACTTGAAAATGGAGTTAAAGAATATATGGCGTTATTTTAAAGGCCAAATAATATTCTTAAACTCTTTTAAGTTATTATAGCCAAAATAAGCATCTAATGAGAAAAATTCAATGGGTGTAAGATGGTTCAATTCTAA